ACTGCTTTGGTGTTTGTTTCTCATCGAACTGATCAGAAATGACAGAATATGGACTTACGGAATGTTACAAGGTCACTCATCCATTGTGACATCATAATAAATAATAATGTGTGTATCTCTCTCTCTCTCTCTCTATATATATATATATATATATATGTACATATATATATATATATATATATATATATATATATATAAGGAAAAAGTTAACACATTTTCTTAAACATAAAATAGCATTATTTATTTATTTACTTATTTATTTATTTATTTATTATTAATTATTCATTGGTAATGTCTCTTTAAAAGTTATGTAAGGAAACCACATTCAGGAATGTGATGCAGTTTTGAACAATACTGTCTGTTACTAACAGAGCTGCTAATGGAGCTGTTCTTTAAGAGAACAACACTGAAAGCTCATGTTATTTATATTATTCATCAATTTCTAAAAAAATACATTTCTAAAAATAAATTTATAATAAATTAAAAAAACACGAGGCTGTTGGTTACTGCCATTTTTTCATAGGGAATGTTGGGTCTCAAGCAGCTTTTTGCTTGTAAGAAACAGCAACCAAATTAAAAAATAAAATACACATCTTTTTAGTAAATACTTTAAGTTATTATCAGTTACTATCATCATAATCAAGTATTCTGCAAGAAATGTAGTTCCTCTAGACTTGGGTATCTTTGCTAAGGAAACAAGGGCTGCTGAATGAGGACAGGGACATCCGGTCTCCCATCACTGTACATTGTGGTCATTTCATCTTTTCAACTTCTTGTTGTATTACAATTACATATAAAGCAGCACTATTTAATATAAAAACCTTTTTGGTCACCAAATTACCACTGCAAGCCTTATTTAGCACCAAGCTAACGGTGCCCCTCTTCTCACACTGGGGCTGTTTAGCATGTTTTAGCCTGTTGGTTAGCTGACCAGCCTAGTTCAAGTTAAGAAAGTAAGTTATCAGCCTCTCAGTTTAAACAAAAACGTGTTCTTACTTCATCAGTACACTCAGTTGTTCATGTGAGCAGCATTAGATTCAAAGATTAATCCATTAATAGCACAAGGATTTTTTGTGACGTGGCAGTAATTAGTGTTAAGGGGTTGTGGGGTGGTCAGTGTGCGTATATCGAGTATTTTACAACGGCTTTGAACGCGGCTTAGCCAATCAGATTTCAGGACCAAAACTATCCGTTTTATAAGGTTATTTTAAATGGTTTCTTATATAACTGTATGATTTATGTATAATTTAAGTAAAAAGAGTTTGTGAGTTTGTGCTGTGTTAACTTTAAAAAAACTGAGAACTCAATCATATTTTGGAAATAACGTTTCACTAAAACTAATAATTCATTTTTGAGCATATAAAATTATAGTGACTAAAACCATATATCAGAATTTTTAGCTCCTTTCATTTCCTTTTCATATATTCAGTCCTTAATTGACACTCCAGATATACTCACTGTATTTTTCTGAGAACTTGTTTGTTCCTCCACTGTCAAATTCTCATGGTCAGATTTAACTGGCAGAGAAAGTGTATTGGGTGATATGATTTACTAATCCTCCTAAATCTCCTTAAATTTCTTAATGTTTTTCATCTTCATAAACAGTACACCAATATTTTTTTTTCTCAGAGAAAAAAACTGTTACGGCTCCACAGCAGAACTAGACTTTTAGGTAAAATAACAATCCTTCTTCGCTGTAAAATCGTTATAACACACAGTTCTAACACAGTTTTCACAATAAATGGTCTTAAATGCTGGAGTTAATGTAGAACTGCTAATTCACTGAGCTTTAACGCTGAAGACTGACGTGCAGACTGCTGGACACACAGCAACACAGATAACGAAAAGGCAAAGAGAAAGATTTAAGAGGAACATCGATAATTTGGAGACGTATGGACTTGTTTGCATTTATAATCACTAAGCTGGTTTCCTCACACGTCCTCATTCTCCTGCTTCTCGTTCCCAGTATAATCTGGCACCTCAAGCACCATTTAAGGAAAGAAGGAAGAAGCTGATGAATGATAAACTGACTATAACCTCGTAAAAAGTCGAACACTGAGAGACATTTTACAAGAAACTCGCGGTAAAAATTTCCTGAGATGTGAGAGAAGCGGCTATAGCTGAGCTAAAGCTTAAAGCAGAGCATACTAAGTCTGTGTTTTTGTTTATATTTTGGGCTATAGTCAGTTTATCATTCACCAGCTTCTCGTTCAAATTGTCCTGTTTCATCTGTTTCTTAAATGGTGCTTGAGGTGCCAGATTATACTGGGAACGAGAAGCAGGAGAATGAGGACGTGTGAGGAAACCAGCTTAGTGATTATAAATGCAAACAAGTCCATACGTCTCCAAATTATCGATGTTCCTCTTAAATCTTTCTCTTCGCCTTTTCGTTATCTGTGTTGCTGTGTGTCCAGCAGTCTGCACGTCAGTCTTCAGCGTTAAAGGTCAGTGAATTAGCAGTTCTACATTAACTCCAGCATTTAAGACCATTTATTGTGAAAACTGTGTTAGAACTGTGTGTTATAACGATTTTACAGTAAAGGAGGATTATGTTATTTTACCTAAAAGTCTAGTTCTGCTGTGGAGCCGTAACAGCTCCGCAGCAGTGGAGACATTATTCAGGCCTGATTCTCACCCCAAACAGAGTCAGTGGCAATGATGAGGATTTTGAGGCTAAAGTGTTACTGAAGTTTAATAAAGGACTCTGAATGTCATGTCTGTACACATCTTGTTGAAATGTTTAAATTGGAACAGTTTTATTTCAACAGTTTGCACAAAGTTGTCTGGTTTGTATACGTTTATTTTTGTTGCTTTTTGTTAGGAAAAACCTGGAATGATTGATTTTGCCTTTACTTAGTCTAAATTTTTGTTGGATATCACGCCTTTGGTTGTGTAAGTTTGATTGTACACTTGAACTCACTTTTTGGTGATCTTTTTGTATATTTGCAGCTTTTCAATTGTATGTTTCTTTCTGGCACATGATTAAATGCAGTGTCTTGTTCACACTTTCAGTCAGGCTTGTTTGGTGTGTCAGGTGGAGATTCACCAACATTCTGAAAAATAGCTAAAAAGTAGCCACTACTTTTTTACTAAATCGTCGCTAGCTGCAAATTTTGGAAAAATATCTACAAAGTAGCTAACTACTAATTTTTCAGTAGCTATCCCAACCCTGAGTGATACTACAGCTGACGTTACAGATACATAAACCTAATGTTTACAAAACCTGCTGTTTTCCAGCTAAAATGTAGCTACATGGCCTGATGTTTATTAAATTAAGCTGTGACTGAGCTAATAATGTTTAGGAACTCAATCTCTGATGGTGTATCAGGGTCATTTTATGATTTAGTTCAGTAAATATATTACATATTATGTCTTTAAACTGCTCACAAAAACATTGCTGATACATCCTGCACTGCTCTGCACCCCACTTTACATGTTTTTCATGATTAGGATTCCAATAATTATTAGTATAACAGTACAAGGAAAAAAAAGACAATCAAAAACAAATAATGTTTTTCGTAGAATGTTGTGGAAAAGAGGATGAAGTTGATGCTGGCAGTTTATTTGCCAGCTTCTCATTCAAATTTTCAGTTCCACCTTAAATGATGCAATTATTCTTGAACTGGCCAGAATCACTTAGACTGGAAAGGAAATCATTAAAGGTGGAACAGAAAGGTTGAACAAGAGGCTGACGGACACAAAGCCAACTTCAACCTCATTAAAAAAGAATTTAAAAATTGTTCCTTTTCTACAGAACCCTTAAAGCAACATGGCTCATCACACAACATCTGGTACACACCATATACTATGTGGTGAGCACCAGATACGATCAGGTGCACATATGATACTATCTGGTGAGTGCCAGATGTTGTGTGGTGAGCACCAGATACTATTTTAAAAAATGTATGGCGCCTGTAACTGCTGCTCATCTGATTCTGTCAGGTCCTTACCACATAGTATCTGGTGCTCACCAGATTTTCACCTAAGAAAGTACATCACAAGTCCCATCAGGGGCTCTATATATTTTATTGAATTATGAGTACAGTAATGATTTTCTCACTTTCCTTCGTCTCTCACTATATGAAATAGGCTGACGGTAAGATGTGTTGAACCAGGGGAGAGAGAGAATCGGCACTAGAGATTTATGGTTTGGGGGGACTAAGCCTTTACTAGGGGGGTCTGGGAGCATTCTCCCATAGGATAATTTTTTTTAATTGCTCCAAAATGTCGGTTTATCATGAAATTATAGAGCAGCGATGGGTGAACAATTGTTCACAAACAGACACAGATTAATCAAAGATAGTAAAGCAATGCTGCCTCCTCTCTCTTAGATAAGCACGTCCTAAACATGTTATTTAAAATACACACATTATAAATCAGTACAGTCTCAGCTGGATCAATCAGAAAGAGTGATTTTGTTCTGTAGTTGTGCTTTCATGTTTAATAACCTAGTTAAGTTCCACTTAACCTACACTTTAAAAGAAGATGGTTCTTCAATGGTTCTTGAATAAAAAGAAAAGCTTTATTTAGAATCAATAGTTCTATATAGAACCATTTTGAGCATAAATTGTTCTTTGCATGGAGAAAATGTTCTTCAGATTGATGGAGAATGAGTTATGGTTCTATGTAGAACCTTTTTGAAAATGTCTCTATGAAGCACCAAATAGTGTTCTTCTATTGTTACAAGCTTGACATTGTAACAGTAGAAGAACCCTTTTTACGGAAGCATATATAACACATTCTCCATCAATCTGAAGAACCACTTCACCAAGCAAAGAACCATTTAAGCATGAAATACCTCTTTGTAGAACTTATGGTTCTAAATAGAACCAATCCCTTTACTAAAGAACCCTTGGAAAAACAGCTTTTTCAAGAGTGTAGTTGTAGCTGCACTTAAATGTTTAAGCCAGTTTTTATTTAGTTTAAGAAATGGTGATATATTAAAGGAATAACATTCCTACAAAGTCAGTATTCATTTTAACTGAAAGCTTAAAAAACACTCACTCGCTTTCTTCTTGATCACTAACCTCCATCAGTTCTGCTCCTTCAGCTCTGTCAGTCTCCTTCAGCTTCTTCCTCTCCCTCTCCTCACCTGTGTTGAGTAAAATGGAATTTTTCGTAGATTTACAGGAACTCAAGGATCAGTGAGATCATTTTTTTGCTTGAACTGGCAAAACTCTTCTCACCTGACTGGGCTTCTGTGGAGCTACCACCTCTTACTTACCCTGTAATGTTACAGACTGAGCAATTCAGGAAAATAAAACACCAGTATTAGTTGTTTATAGTAAAAACGATGTATAGCTAACACTGCTGTGATTATCTAGAAACACTTAATAGAAATATGGAAACAAATAATCTGTGAAATTTCTTAAAATTCTTAAAACAGTTGGCTCTTCAACTAGTTCATGCTTTACACCCTTTTCTTTACGTCGCGTGACCTTAATGTTAGCTAGTTAGTTAAGAAGCAATGGCTAAAAACTCAGCCGGCTATATTCACCATAATTTGCGCAAATGCGTATTGTAGGTCGATATCTGCACTCTGCAACTAATCGGTAATTCCAGGGCCTGAAATTCATTTCTCAAAATGGGGAGAATTTCCTCCTTAAATGTTTCACATAGGGGGGATTTATGCACGTTGGGGGGATACTACTCGTAAGCTTAACTAGCTACAGGTCTTACCTTGTCCTGTTCTTTTTGAAAGCTTTTTGAAAGAAGGACACCGCATCCCTTTCATAAATTTAACCAGACAGCCAAATTTTGAATTAGCCAATTCGTTTTCTGCTATAAAGTAGGTGCTTTTGAGAAGCCCCTTCGTTTCCTCCTCACACTGCAACTGCGCAACTTTAGCATTAGCCATCACATCCTTTGTCGAATCTGCCTCACGCTTTCTCACTAGGAGTTGGATCTCTGTGTGCCGGGTGACGGGCGGAAGTGGCTGCAGGAAGCGGTCACTTTGTAGCCACTTTTATTAGCGGCCACCACTGAACGGCCACATCGCGGCCACTTTTATTAGCGGACCCCATTGATCATCTACACTGCGGCCACTGCGCAGCCACTTTTATTAACGGGCGCCTTTTGAAGTGAATTTGTATCTTTTGAAATGAATTTGTACTCCAGTATCTTAATTGTAAATGTTGGTAAATGGACTTTTAACTGGACAAAAGCAAATGTTGTGGATATCGATACACTGTGAAAATGTAGTTTGACGATTTGATATCTTGTTTATTTGGCATACATTATGTGTGAGTGTCTTAATGTGAAGTACAATACAAAACACAGCAGTCAGTACCGTTCATGTTTATTCAGTTCATGTATATTTAGTTACATCTTTAATCTTTATTAAAATTACATACGATTGAAAAATCTAATAACAAATACAAATAAATGCATTTTAAATATAGATTTAAGAAACATGCTTTTGGCCATTTTTATATATTGCAAAAATATATTTCAGAAATATATTTGAAATATATATTTTTTCTCCTTATGGGAGGCTAATCTTAATATTGCTATAACTCCCTGATAGGCTGATGTCTGCTTCTGTTTAACACTACTTGCACTCTATTTAAGGTGCTGAACTAGACAACACATTTTGTTAAACTTGACAAGTAAGGATAATTAAACATTGATATTCTGTTTTGTAGGCTTATTGCAAATCAATGGGTTTTGTATTTAAATAACAATAAAGGACAAACTTAAAATGTGTATGGAAACAATATTGACAGCAGTTCAGTTTTATTGTTCAAATTACAAGATTAAATATTTAATTGTGTAATGAACATTTCACCTTCTAGATGTTTGCGGTCCCTGTCTTATAAATTAAGAGTCCAAGTCTTTTGCATTTCCTTTCCTACTTTCTTTCTTCTTTTGCTGTAATTGTTTTGGTAAAAAATTATTTACTACATTTATTAACATTAATAAACCATGAATACTAACATTATTAAGACATAAGTAATGTTATAAAGTATTTAACATTTTATTAAATTATGTATTAAATTATGTTTGATAGCTTACGTTAATAGGTGTGAACAGACAGTAAACACGCTCGCCTTCAAACTGTATATTTTTAACTGATATCTGTTCTACCATTAAAATCAACAGCAACATATTTGCTTTGATTTTACTGTAATATTTTTCACTAGTAATCATGCTGATCACTTCATACAGAATCAGAGATTATTACTGTATTAGACAGTTAAACAGCTACACAGCCTCCCACAGTTAAAGACAAACACCAAGGGGGGAGTTACAGAGAGAGAGAGAGAGAGAGAGAGAGAGAGAGAGAGAGAGAGAGAGAGAGAGGGAGAGAGAGGTGGGGAGGGATCAGATCAGGCCAGTCAACGATAGCGCGACACAATCACTGTCCAGAGTTGAGGAAGAACCTGTATTAGGCTTGATTTCTACCTCAGCCTTAAACGACCGTTTATCTCCAAAACAGCAGCTAAACTAGGCTGTATAAACGGGTAAACTGTAGGTTGTGGGCGACACCTGTTAACTAAAGTAGCTGACAGACACTTGTAATAAAATATACGCAACAGATTTCAAGTTTAATAAACAGAATCATTATAATAGAAAGAAGTAAACTGTAATCACGGTAACTACCTGTTTAGCTCGGATCAGCTAGCTCGGCTAATAATCCCTCAGGCTGGAGCCGAGTTGTGAGAGCGAATCTCAGCAGGTTTCGTGTTGGGTCGCTGATAATAGCGCTGTTTTCTTTAGTTCATGTTAAATGAATACAGATGACCGTTTGAATGCGGTCTGTTCCTCATGTGTGCTGTTAAGTTCTCTTCTTTCCTTCTCTAACGTTACTAAACTAGACGTCTCTGTAGTGTTTTTCCTGTCGGAGCTGCTGTTTTTTGATTGGTGAGTCTTTTAAATTTAACCGCGTGTCATTCTTACTGGTTTTTGAGCTGATACGGTCATAGTTTATTTTTAATCTGTAACGTTATGAAAATTAAAGTAGTAAAGTAAAAGTATTTCATTAAAAATGAACACAAGTAAAAGTATGATTTAATTCTACTCCAAAAAGTAGCGTTCAAGTGAAATACTGTACTGTATTGTACAGGTAATAAATATTTCGTTTAATAGTCTGTTCAGGGGATCTTAACCTGATGTAGTAGTTATGTAGTTATATACAATGACGGCTAATACTTTGTAGCTAGGTAAGGTAGCATTCCTTAATCCGTGTAGATATTTATAATAGATTAACGTTAGCACCTTACATGAACCTGAAGTCAGCTTCTCATTTTCCAGCTTCTTGTTCGAATTTTCCCGTTCCACCTTAATTAGTGCGTCAGCCAAATTTTTATTTGAATTTTCCTGTTCCACCTTAAATGGTGCAGCTTCAGCCACCAGAAAGTGACTGCTGCACCAATTAAGGTGGAACGGGAAAACTCGAACAAGCAGCTGGCGAACAGGAAGCTTTAGTTTCGTCCTTCTTACTGTGTTTTGGGGGTTGTTTTATTTTCATGTGTATTAAGATTAAAAGTGATTCACACCGTGATGGATTTGCTGATTGTGAGGTTGTGTTTCTACCGGAGCGCTAAACACGGTTTTTGACCTCTAACTCCAACTATGAGGATTATAACAAGACAAATTTAGTAGAAAATTGGTTGAGTAATAAGGAAGTTGTGGCCGATTTAATCATGAGACTCATCATCTCTCAGTACAAGTGAATTTGTTCACAAGCGGATCTTGACCGCACCAACATGGCGGGCGCGTAGGCGTATCGCCTTAGATAGAGAACAGCAGACAACGCGGCATCTAGCTATGTATATCTGTGAGCAGCACGTTATACAGTTCACACCCTGCGGTCACAGTATATTGTGAATTTTGGAGACACAGTGGACAAGTTAAATAAAATTGCATAAATGCAAAATACTGATGATTTGAACTAAAATGTACATTCATTTGGGGAGGGCTACATGATATGAAGCCATGCACAATACAGGACAGCCAACTAATACAGAGCTCATTTGCATATATCAGTTTTAAAGGTACAGTGTCTAGGACAAGGGGCCTTTAATAGAGTTCAGGACAAAAGTATAGAATCAAGAAGTGCCTTTATTTCAAATTTAACCATTAAAATGAAATCTCAGGTATGAGCTGAACCTGTAGGCCATCAGAAATGCGTCTTCCTTCATAGACAGAGCCAAAGCATCCTTCACCCAGTTTGTCTCCAACATCATAGCGGGAGTCAAAGGTTTCTATAGAAAAGAAAATTACAAAATGAACATCAGCCCTCTTTAGATTATTGATCAGGGGATTACCAATCAAACTTACTGATTATGAATAATGTGGTAGAATCTACTTTCTAGATATTTACAACTCTTTTGGAATTAAGTGAAATTAAACGTTCATAGTATGCAGGTGTCTGGCAATTGGACAGACCTGGCTCGGTGGCTTTATTCTCTATCTCTGTTATGCTCTTGGGCTGGTTCACTGCCTCTTTCCACTTTTTCCCTGCTGGAGCGTCGGTGGTAGGAACATTGCTTGTTCCCTCTTCAGCACTCTGGCTGCATTCCTCCACAGCTCTCTTCCTCTTTGTCTGAGGAGTGTCTGAGTACAGGATGATAATTTTAAGATTTAGTGTTATTTCATAGAACATGCTGCACATATCTGTAGTACTGGGAGTTCTAGGCTGATACATTGCACTATATTCTATATTGTTTTTAAAGAGTGTAGTGATATTTAAATGTGCCTGCATTGTGCTCTCTTGTCTGTTCCTCTTTCCTTCAAGGAGCTACTAAGTACAGGACAATTACTGAATATTTAATGTTCTGGATCTGTCACTTTAAACCACAATTTGACCCCCATTGGACCTGCCAACGGACCTACCACTACAGTGACTAGATCAGAATTGTTCAGTTTTTTAGTTATTACATTCTGAATGTAGAGTATTTTTCAAAAAAGTGATTCTTCAAATTTCTTATTAGTTTCCTCCATCTTCTCTGTTTCACTGTTGCTGTCCTTTGTTCACTGTCACTGTCCATTATCCACTGATTCGTCCTTTTCTCACTCCTTGTGCTTCGTCCACTGTTGTTGTAATTTATCCGTTTTTTATCAATTATACCATGTCATTGTGCTTTTTGAACTGATTGTCTTATATCCATTATCATTAGCATTATTGTCCATTTTTCAGTGTCATTGTCCATTCTTTTACTGCCATTGTCCTTTTTCACTGTCACTGTGTTCCATTGCTCTTGTCATTCTTCCATGGCTGTTATCCTTTTTCCACTATCGTTATTCTTTTTCCACTCAGTCATTTGTTGCTTTTCTTTATCTAGTAGTCTGTTGTCACATTGAAAGGTTTTTTTTGTTCTTGTTGTTGTTGTTTTTTTTATTAACAGCTCTTCATAACCTGAAACATAAACCAAAAGATATGCATTAGACTCTGAAGTTGAGAAATCTTCAGAGTTTTAATCTTAATCTTCATTTCCAGTTTCCTTATGGCATGTATGTGCACCACAGTATCTCCTCAATTGTCACTAGATATTTTAGGCTTACTGCTTCTTCTCCTAGCCTCCCTGGCTAACCTGATCCTAGGCCTGGTTGGTGCACTGGAACCACTCATGTTCCGTGATCTGCTGCAAACTAGGCCGCTGGGATGGGTACCACTCCAGGCACCAGCTAATCAGATTACAGCATTCTGTGCAGAGTGATGGGATTGGATAGGAGAGAGACACTTAACCACTAAATTTCAGAAGGGCTACCAGTAAAAGGATGAGTTGTAACTATATCATGAAAGGAAACTATTATAAACGTATACATTTGGGGCCATCTGGCCTCTACAGCAAAACTCTTCTAACTATTGATTATGTGATCAATTTTCCTTCCTCTGTACGTAGTTAAAAGGTCCCATTTATCTTACCTTTAGAAAGGCCATCCTTGATGTTGAAAATCCCCAACTTGGTCTTCGCACGGTCAGCAAAGGGAAGGTATCCACAAACCATCCTGAACAGCAGGACACCAAGTGACCAAACTGTTGCAGGATCAGCGTGATACTTCCTGCTAACAAAAAACTCAGGAGGGCAGTATAGAAGCGTGCCTAAAAACAAAAAAGAGAAAGAGCACAGCTGAGCACAGTAATTCATTTAACAGCTAAGTGGCTGTGGGACACTCAGTCACCTATGGCTGAAGATTCTCCACAAGGGGGAGTGTTGAAATCTTACCTGCATATCTGTCATATTCAGTTGTCTTAATCAGGTCACCGCAGCCAAAGTCAATAAGTTTGACCTCTGAGGTGTCCGTGTTGATCAGGAAGTTCTCCCCTTTCATATCCCGATGCAGGACACCTCGCGTGCTGCACTGGCTCGCTGCCTCCACTGCTTGGACCATAATAGCTTGGGCCGTTTCTTCATCCAGGCGATTTCCAAGGTTTAACATGAACCTCTCCAGGTCCACACATGGGTGAGGGCGCTCCAGTATCAGGATGTATTCCTCAGGCTCGTCAAACCATTCGATTAACTGAACTATGTTCTGGCAGACGGGTGGCTGGCTCGTTATCTGCAGCAGAGCCACTTCCACAGGCACGGCCTTGGACTCAACAGGCTGCAGGACAGTACATAGTTAGATGGTGAGGAGTGATGAACATGGGGAGAAACTCATTGAGTTGGTCTGAGACTATTATGTGTTATGTGTTAAGTAGGTGCACTTACGCTGTAGACATATCGATCTGTTTCCCATTTCAAGACAAATTTGATGGCCACCTACACACAAACAAAAAGATATTACAATTACTAGAAGTGAAAAGAGAGAAATGGAAATAATAACCATTAAAATGAAATCTCAGGTATGAGCTGAACCTGTAGGCCATCAGAAATGCGTCTTCCTTCGTAGACAGAGCCAAAGCATCCTTCACCCAGTTTGTCTCCAACATCATAGCAGGAGTCAAAGGTTTCTATAGAAAAGAAAATTACAAAATGAACATCAGCCCTCTTTAGATTATTGATCAAGGGATTACCAATCAAACTTACTGATTATGAATAATGTGGTAGAATCTACTTTCTAGATATTTACAACTCTTTTGGAATTAAGTGAAATTAAACGTTCATAGTATGCAGGTGTCTGGCAATTGGACAGACCTGGCTCGGTGGCTCTATTCTTGCTCTCTGTTATGCTCTTGGGCTGGTTTACTGCCCCCTTCTGCTTTTTCCCTGCTGGAGCGTCAGTGTTGGGAACATTGTTTGTTCCCTCTTCAGCACTCTGGCTGCATTCCTCCACAGCTCTCTTCCTCTTTGTCTGAGGAGTGTCTGAGTACAGGATGATAATTTTAATATTTAATGTTTTTCATAGAACATGCTGCACATATCTGTAGTACTGGGAGTTCTAGGCTGATACATTGCACTATATTCTATATTGTTTTTAAAGAATGTAGTGACATTTAAATGTGCCTGTATTGTGCTCTCTTGTCTGTTCCTCTTTCCTTCGAGGAGCTACTAAGTACAGGACAATTACTGAATATTTAATGTTCTGGATCTGTCACTTTAAACCACAATTTGACCCCCATTGGACCTGCCAACGGACCCACCACTACAGTGACTAGATCAGAATTGTTCAGTTTTTTAGTTATTACATTCTGAATGTACAGTATTTTTCAAAAAAGTGATTCTTCAATTTCTTATTAGTTTCCTCTGTTGTCTGTGTTTAGCAGTTTTCTCCTGTCTTTTTCTTTGTTTTTTAGAGTCAGCGTCCAACACTTTCCTCTTCTTTTCCCCCCACCATTACTTTCGGCTGCGCATTTGCTCTTTTTAACTGAGTTTAACTTTACATTTGAGGGTGAGTGGACTGACCTGACTCGGTGGCTTTCTTCTGTCCAGGAGTCGTTTTCCTGGGCCGCTTCACTGCCCCCTTCCTCTTCTTCCCTGCAGGAGCGTCAGTGTTGGAAACATTGCTTGTTCCCTCGAAACACTGGCTGCATCCCTCCTCAGCTCTCTTCCTCTTTCTCTGAGAAGTGTCTGAGTGCAGGATGATCATTTGAATATTTAATATTATTTCATAGAAGATAAGCTAAATATATCTGTAGTAATGATAGTTCTAGGCTTATACACTGCATTATATTTTATTTTGTTATTAAGGAATGCAGTGATATTGAAATGTGCTCATATTGTGCTGTGAGAAAGAAAAACTAAGAAACAAAAAACACTAAAAAATTAATACATAATAAAAAAATAAACAAACTCAAAAAGGAATGTACGGAACCTGAGGCTGCAGAGTTTTGTTCCATCGTCTTCTGCTGTGTTCAATTTCTTCCACTAAACTCAATTAAAGTTTACACAAATTGGACGTGAACTGCTTTGGTGTTTGTTTGTCATTGAACTGATCAGAAATGACAGAATATGGACTTACGGAATGTTACAAGGTCACTCATCCATTGTGACATCATAATAAATAATAATGTGTGTCTCTATATATCTCTCTCTCTCTCTCTCTCTCTCTCTATATATATATATATATATATATATATATATCGCTCTCTCTCTATCTATCTATATATATATATATATATATATATATATATATATATATTTATATGTACATATATGTATATATGTATATGCTAAAGAAAATGTGTTAACTTTTTCCATATATATATATATATATATATATATATGTATATATATATATATAATATATATATATAATATATGTGTATATATGGAAAAAGTTAATACATTTTCTTTAACATAAAATAGCATTATTTATTTATTTACTTATTTATTTATTTATTATGAATTATTCATTGGTAATGTCTCTTTAAAAGTTATGTAAGAAAACCACATTCAGGAATGTGATGCAGTTTTGAACAATACTGTTTGTTACTAACAGAGCTGCTAACGGAGCTGTTCTTTAAGAGAACAACACTGAAAGCTCATGTTATTTATTTTATTCATCAATTTACATATAAAGTGTAATTTATAATAAAGTAAAAAAAACACAAGAGGCTGTTGGTTACTGCCATTTTTTCATAGGGAATGTTGGGTCTCAAGCAGCTTTTTGCTTGTAAGAAAGGGCAACAAAAAAAGATAAAATACACATCTTTTTAGTAAATACTTTAAGTTATTATCAATTATTATCATCATAATCAAGTATTCTGCAAGAAATGTAGTTCCTTTAGACTTGGGTATCTTTGCTAAGGAAACAAGGGCTGCTGAATGAGGACATGGAAATCCGGTCTCCCACTACTGTACATTGTGGTCATTTCATCTTTTGAACTTCTTGTTGTATTACAATTAACATATAAAGCAGCACTATTTAATGTAAAAACCTTTTTGGTCACCAAATTACCACTGCAAGCCTTATTTAGCACCAAGCTAATGGCGCCCCTCTTCCCACACTGGGGCTGTTTAGCATGTTTTAGCCTGTTGGCTAGCTGACCAGCCTAGTTCAAGTTAAGAAAGTAAGTTATCAGCCTCTCATGTGTTCTTACTTCATCAGTACACTCAGTTGTTCATGTGAGCAGCATTAGACTCAAAGATTAATCCATTAATAGCACAAGGATTTTTTTGTGACGTGGCAGTAATACAGTGTTAAGGGGTTGTGGGGTGGTCAGTGTGCGTATATCGAGTGTTTTACAACGGCTTTGAACGTGGCTTAGCCAATCAGATTTCAGGACCAAAACTATCCGTTTAATAAGGTTATTTTAAATGCTTTCTTATATAACTGTATGATTTATGTATAATTTAAGTAAAAAGAGTTTGTGAGTTTGTGCTGTGTTAACTTTAAAAAAACTGAGAACTCATCATATTTTGGAAATAACGTTTCACTAAAACTAATAAATCATTTTTGAGCATATAAATTATAGTGACTAAAACTATTTATCAGAATTTTTAGCTCCTTTCATTTCCTTTTCATATATTCAGTCCTTAATAGACACTCCAGATATACTCACTGTATTTTTCTGAGAACTTGTTTGTTCCTCCACTGTCAAATTCTCATGAGGTCAGATTTAACCGGCAGAGAAAGTGTATTGGGTGATATGATTTACTAATCCTCCTAAATCTCCTGAAATTTCTTAATGTTTTTCATCTTCGTAAACAGTTCATCAATGAGTTTTTTTTTTTCTCAGACAAAACTTAACGTGAAGAAAAAGTGAAAGAGGAAGTTCGAGAATGTCATAATGCAGTGCTTTGTGGGAGATACGCCATCATGGCAGGGTTTGTCAGTCCAGGCTGGTTTAGAATTGCTGAAAACACCTACTTTTCTACCTGCTTTCCTTGATTTTGGCTGATCTGTAGCCTATAGTCTCATTAAATACATTTGCAGAGATGACTAGCATGCCGATCTACATACATGACTAACAGATCAGGGACTTGATTGGTCCTCTTGTGTGTATTCGAAGTGCTGACTGGCTAACAGAGAGCTAAGTTATAGAACAAAGTTAGAGTTTGACTGTAACTGGAGGTAGAACCTTTTTGTTTTCTAGATGAAGAGTCCAAAATGCACACAGCTTAAAAAAAACCTCAAATAATCTTAAGAAGTTGTCGCAGAAATAAGATTATGTGAACAACTTGACAAAATGTCAGATAGAACCTTATGATTCCAAGGCAATGAACTGCTGCACCATTTAAACTGGAATGGAAAATTAGAATAAGAAGCAAATCTCGTCATTGTGGTGAGGTGTGCAGTGATACTACCGCTAACGTTACCAATAAACAAACCTAAGAATCACCTCTCAAAATCCGCTGTTTTCCAGCTAAAATGTAGCTACAAGGTCCGAGGTTTTTTAAGTTAAGCTGTGACTGAGCTAGTAATGTTAGCTGAGCTGCCAGACAATTAGCATTTACCTGTTTCTCTAAAAAACTTTAGATTGACTGCTTTTTCACTGTAAATGTAAGATTCATGTGATCTAATATGGATTTTTGTGGGGCTAATATTGTACAATAGAGTAATAGTGTCATTAGTTCACTATAGCGTTTGCTGTTACTTTCAATTTTTCAGCTGAAAAAGCAGGGATATTTTCCACATCTCTAAATTTCAGTCTTAGAAGTTGGTCGCATTTTTGGCATCTGACGATCCATGTAACCCCAAATACATTCAATGATGTTTGAGGTTTAGACTCTGGTCATGGTCAGTCCAATGTTCAGAGAACACCAGTAGCTTCTTTTGATTTGCAGATTTTCTTCTTTTTCCTTTTTTCAGTAACAGCTTCTTAAAAGCTACACATCCTTTCAGGTTCATAGTGTTGAGTTGTCTTCTCACAGTGGAAGGATGGACAGAAACACCTGTGGATTTTTCAATCCGAAACAAGAGTGGAGCTTGATTTTCTCCTCTCTCTCAAAGATGAAAACTTTAAGTACTGTTTATCCGATGGTGACCCTTTTGGTGGTCTCCCAGGACTTGCACAGTTGTTTGTGGTCCCATTTTCTCTGTATCATTAAATAATATTTTTAATTCCAGTTTTAGAAACTGCTGTTTTTTTTCCTTCTGCAAATAGATTGCTTATCTTACATCTAATATTATATAAATAAAAAATAAATAACTTGTACTTAATGTCTGCTTCGACTGGAAATAAAAAATTCAGGGGTGGTCTCTGACTTTACAGTACCATATATGGGCCTCTTTTTTTTGGTGCTGTAGAAAACCTTTTGTTACTAAGAGTGTGCGTTTGACAGAATGTATTGTTTGTCAAATCATGTCTGATTTTTGCATTTTTCAAAATTTCTGTTAAGTATCAGATATGTATTGTAATCAATGTACAACACTAAAAATATAAGGCTATGGTTATTAAATATTAGATTAATTATTATTCACTCCATTAATAAGTTATATATTATTAATATATCTATAAAAAAAAAAAAAATTGCCAGATCACAGAGCATTCACATTCAGGACATGAATTGGGATTAGATTTTCCCTGTCATTTATCCTTTGATCATAAGAGAAATGAAAATGAAGGGTGCATATTGTCCCCGACAAATTTGCAATTTACTGCATGAATATTTGTATTTTTCAGATACAAAAAAAATATCAGAATAAACGTTTTATTTACGAAACAACCTACGAATGCGACGCGGAACTATTGTTCCACTCTTGCGGTTTAGCACGTCAGACATTTATCAGGGACTTAGTTTCCTGGCAACGTTCATCCTGAGGAAAGAAGTGCAGAGGTAAATATTTATCGTTTATGTTTCACAGCGCGGCTTATATGTCGCGTTTTCCTGGCATTTAGCACCAAGAGGAGCGTGTTCGGTCGGCCAGGAGGTGATGATGACGGACACATGGATCATATCTTCCCGAAGATAGAAGTTCCAGGCCTGCAGTTAGCAGTTAGCCAACTATCGTTGATTCCCCACGGCAGGCGGCTAATGCTAACTAGCTGTGGTTAGCTAACGTCAGATGACTTGTGTGGAAACACGGGAACAGCTGATCGGCTTTTTGTTTTGGGTTTGGGTATTAAAAGGAAAGTCAGCAGGTTCTCTCATCTTTTTGCAGTCTTAAGTTCAGCTGCAGTGTCCGCTACCCGTGAACTGGTTAAATAAGTGGGCGAGCTTGCTTTTGTAACACAGTTTAGGTGGCTAATGCTAGCTGAGAGTGTCGTCGTCATATGATTTCAGTTCCTTAATCATATCTGCTGCACCTAGACAGCTAAGCTAACCTAGCTGACTGTGAAAGAATAATCATGTACATCGCAACAAAATGTATACTGACATTAATATTATTTTAAGTCAAATTTGCCCAGTGTCCAGCTTGAATTCTTTTTTTTCACTAACTTAATTAGCAGTAAGTGTAGCTGCATCTAGGGAATGAATGACGTGGCTAGTTGTGATTATGCTTTGGTTATGCTGTCGGATATTGTGCCATGAAAACTGTGATGTGATTCATGGTCTATGTGACAGTAATAAGGGAGAGGGAGCGGCTGTGGCGCAAATAATTATAATACCACTCAGTGATTCCGATGAAACCTACACTGTATGTCCAGAAGTATCCAAACCTCCATTAGTGAACTCAGCTACTTAAAGGGGAAGTCCACTGATTTTTTTCATAATTTCTGCATAAGTTAGGTGAGATTTAAAGTCATTCAGGTTGGTTTGATGTGAAATGCTATATTTGCAGAGAAATTTGCCGACATGGATTTCTTTACATAAGTAGTGATACAACATGTCACACATCTCTTTAGCCCCTCACCACAGCTCTTTATTATTATTTATTCTATGTATTGTTTTTTATTTGAATTTTCCGTTAGTTAATTACGTGTTAATAGTCAGTTTGCTTGTCTGGTATGTTCAGTATGTTACATGTGAAAGGTGTGTGCAGTCGCCAAGACAGGTCCCTTGTATGTGTAACATATATGTAGCGAAGTAAAGTGATTCTGATAGAAACAAGGCAGCGCAATGCAAATATAGGCACTTTTATTTAACACTCAAAACGACCAGTGAACCTACATGTTGGTTTTTATATGTAATGTTGATAATGGTGTCATAGTGGTAATTTATAAAAGAAATGTGTTTTCTTTGGATAATATTTTGCCGCATAACACCCTGCATGTATTTCTTCACCATGAAATACTTTTTAAAAACAATTTTTAGGTGAAAATCTTGTCAGGAAAGTATTGTAAACATTGTCTCTGGCATTAGGCAATGTGTTTGTAACCATTTCATGCAATAACTTGCTGTAATGGAGCTTTTAGAGGCATTAGGCACTTACGATGTCTGGTTCCTATCACCACCACTGAGAACAGTTCTGACTAGAATGGTAAATTTCGCATAAAAACACGGCTTTGTTTATATGTCACTGACTGAATTATGAAGAAATTTTGAGAAATACAACATATGGACAAAAGTATTGGGACACCTGCATGTTACACCTACAGTAGTTTTTATGGTATTCCATTCTAAATCCATAGGCATTTATATGGAGTTGGTCCCCTTTTGCAGCTATAACAGCTTCCACTCTTCTGGGAAAAATTCTATAAGATTTTGGAGTGTGTCTTTGGGAATTTTTTCCCACTTATCCAGAAGAGCATTTGTGAGGTCAGACACTGATGTTGGACGAGAGGGCCTGGCTTGCAATCTTTCTCCCAACAATGCCTTCATAGGCCTTGTTTTGTGCACAATACTTTTGTCCATCTAGTGCACCCATTGCTAACATCATGGTGTTAAATGTCAGCTAGAGCATTATAAAGCCCCCAGCACTAGGCTGTGGACCAGTGTAACTGTGTTGCCTGGAGTGATGGAGCACCTTTAGGATGAGTTGGAGTGGTATTTGTGATGCAGTACCTGACCTCACTGCTCTTGTGGCTGAATGCAATCAAAACTTCACAGTAATGTTCCAACACCTAGTGTAACGTATTCTCAGAGGAATAGAGACTGTTTGTGCAGCAAAGGGGGAACAAACTCCCTATTAATGCCGTAGATTTCAGAAGAAGCATAGAATGAGCAGGGGTCTACACCATTTTTGGACATAGTGTTTGGTGTTCAAATGAGCACAGACAAAATGTTTTTCTTTCTTTTATAAAAAAGGTTTGCATTTTTGTGCTGCATACAGGTAAGATAAGGACTGTTATGTGCAGGGCTTGATACCAAGGAATGTAATGATGATAATGTAGAACTACAGTTGTAAACTCACACAGGAGATATGGAGTTTATGTTGATAGTGACTGATAATACTTTTTGTGTAGCAGGTTGAGGGATGAGCCACTCCTCTGGGATTGGCTATGATGTGCAGGAGGCAACTAATGGGGTGGACACTTCTGATTCTCCAGAGACCCGCGATTGGATGAGCACTCATGGCTCTGCCTCCTTGAAGTGTCGAGACGGAGAAGCTTGCTCAGAGCAAAACAAACAGGAAGAAACTGTTCCAGAGATTCACACGTATACACCCCACGGCACAGAGCCGGTATATGGACAAACACACAAAAACTCAGCACCTCACACCAATACAAACACCTCTGATGACAGCCCCCCTCACACAAACGAGTTACTGCTTGAACACACATCTCACTCACAGCCAATATCCCAAAACAGATCGGACATGGACACAGATGACCCGGCACACATACAACCTAATGATGGGTGGGGAGGAGGGGAGAAAGATGAAAGAGAAGATGATGATGATGATGATGATGATGATGTGGAAAAGTGTGAGGATACTCGGGAGACTACAGACATTTCTGTGCAGGTGAGGCCTGTATTAAGCACTTCACATCATTTGTCTGTTTAATCAAATCTGTTAAGACGTGACGCTCAAACACGGATCTTAGATCAACATGATTACTTCTCTTGAGTAATATGATACGTGCGAACATACGTAACGTGTCAGTTTATCTGTGTTGTTTGACCGTGACAGCCACGTACCTGTTCAGCCACAAAAGCTGCATTACCGAGCTGCATGAACCTCCCTGTTGTCACATGCTGTTAAAAATCCAGCATTGCGATAATGAGAATGTGACACTGTCGAAATGTGATCCAGACAGAATGAGTCATGTTAATCTTTCTGATCAGAGTTACAGTGACAGCTTCTCAGTCTTAAACTGTAGAACTATTTGTATTTCTCTTGCAGTAATATTATATTACTAATATAAATACTATAATATTAAAGTGAAATGCAAGCTACAACATACCTTGTTCTAACAGCAAGTGATGTGAGTGAGCGACAACAACAAAATCAAAACTCCCCCCATTATAATCAACAAAGCTATCTACACCATCAGCAGGTGTCATCACATCACATTGCACTGTTGTTTCACTTCAGCAAACATACTGCAGTGAAGTAATTTGCAGCAAAACACGGTTAAAAATACACTATGTAAGGTTTGGGGGTTTAAAGACCTCTCTGTTGGAAATGTGTAACTGCTAAATGTGTAACATCAGTTCAGACCCCTGAGCAGATCAACCAGATGATTGTGAGCGTGTTGAAAGAAATCTGTGGATTTAAGTGAATGATCACTATTGTCATCATTGTGTGTGTGCTGTTGATACATAAAGATGTGTGGTGTTGTCTGAAAAAGTCCCGCAAAATCCAACCCGATGTGTTTTTCTCTCCAAACTCAAAAATGCTAAATTTTTTAAATTTTCACAAACAAATATTGCATAGCAAACAAGCCAAAACTAATCTGTGGGGTTCAAGAAAGAGAGATATATGACCTTTTCTATAATTTTTATAAGTATTTGCCCCTTCCCAGTTTCTACTATTTTTGCACATTTTTAAAGAACTGCAGGCCTCACTTGCCTCACTTGTACATGATTTCACAATTAGAAAGACACTGGGCAAAAATGGCATCCATGGGCTCAAACTACTGATGACCAAAAAAAAAACACAAAGGCTCATCTCGCATTTGCCAAAAAGCATCTAGATGACCTCCAAGACTTTGGGGATGAAAATCTGGAGTGATGAGTCAAAGGAGGAGCTTTTTGGAAGACATGGGTCCCGTTACATCTCTCATAAAGCAAACACCGCGCTCCATGAACATCATACCAGCCATTAAACATGGTGGTGGTAGTGTGACGGTCTTGTGCTGCTTAGCTTCTGCAGGACCTGGACAACTTGTCCTACTTGATGGAACCATGAATTCTGCTCTCTAATCAGAAAATCCTGAAGGAGAATGTCAGCCTGTCAGTTTGTGACCTAAAGCTCAAGCACAGTTAAGATATGCAGCAGGACAATGATCCGCAGCACACTGAATGGCTCAAAAGAAACAAAATTATGGTTTTGAAGTGGCCAAGTCTAAGTCCTGACTTGAATCCAATTTAAATGCTGTGGCAAGACCTTAAACAGGCAGTTAGTGTTCAAAAACCCTCAGATGTAGCCGAAATAAAACAATTCTGCAAAGAAGAGTGGGCCAAAATATCTCCACAGTGATGTAAAATATCACAAGTTAGTGTAAAGATTTGATTGCTTAGCTTGTTTTACTTAATGCACAGACTCAACATTTGCAGTGTAGACATTTAACATATAAAACAATAGCTGCAGCTATCTGGAAAGCCTGAATTTAGTCTGTAGCTTTTTCCATTTTTAGATAACAAACTAGATTTAAACAAATCTGTTTGAGATTTGTTTGTAACAACTTAAAATGGTTTAAGACAAGTGTGCAACGATTCAGTTATGCAGTTTGCATTCACTCTAATTGCTAATTCATGTACATAAGCTTCTATTACCTTTTTAGCTACAGTAGCTTTGGAGCTCCAGTGCAAAACTAACGAAATAAAGTTTGGATATCAAACTAAATTTAGGTTAAAGGTAAAATTGTGTATGTTGATTTTCACATCAGACTGACATTTTAAAATCCGTTGTAATAATAATCATAACTGTTTCTCAGCCAGTAAAAGAGACCACCACTGAGGACCCAGCCACTTCAGAAACCCCATCCACAGAAGTGCCAAACAACTCCGTCTCTGAAGATGATGCCCCTTCCACTGCTTCCACTCCACCTGAGCAGGCCCCACCCCTGGTCCCAGCCCCTCCACCCAGTTCAGCTCCTGCTCCTATGATGCCAGAGCCTGATGTTTGGCAGCGGCCAGCACATGTGATGGCAGAGGTGCGGGTTCGTTCGGCGCCGGAGCGGGACCGGGACAGAGAACGCGTTGTGAGGGGCATGCAGGACAGTAAGAGTCTGGACGGCATTAGTGATGCTTATGGAGGCAGCTCACGGGGCATGGGGGTCAAAGGAGGGCAGGCAGAGGGACGCAGGGCTACTATCTCCAGTGCTCTGGAACTGGAGGGAACTGTTAGCCACGACGGTGATCTCACACACTTCATCACCAAGAACCTGGAACAGAAGATCAAAATGAGCTCCAAGCGCAGCCTTGACACTGACTGTAAGTGCATGTTTGTGATATTTTCAGCACTGGAGGTGTATGTGCTGAAGCTACATGAGTGTTTCGGTGCACTAGATACGCAGCAGGCAAAATTCCAAAATTCTAAATTCATTTCATTCGATTACATGACATCCCGAAGTAAGGGGCTTACTGATATGGAATTTTGTGGCTGATGATACCAGTTTTAGAGTGCTAAAAATTCAGATGATAATATTGGCAAATATAATTTTATATTTTGAGTTTTAAAGTATAAATATAGTTATATGCTTTATTGGCAGATATGATTGTCAGTTCTCAATTTTTAAACTCTTTTAAACTCTTTTAAACTTAAACAACACCAACTCACAGTCTTAAATATAATGTAAGAATGCTGTGTGCTTTTGTTTTTGAGTTATCAGGTCTTATTTTTCATATTTTTCATTAGTTCTCTTCAAAAACAGTTTTATTATGTGATAACATGTTATTCTGATGCTTGTACTGTTAATCATCGTCCGATACTGATAATGCAGGTCGCTTATATCGGTCGGGTCCTAATCCCAAGACATACCAAGTTGTGTTGTGATGTTCAAAAATGGAGCTTCAACGCTGATGTAGTCAGCTGAGGCTCATACTTTACTAAGAAGCATTATGCCAGTTGCTTGCCAAAATTATGAAACTCGTGAAAACTGAAAACAGTAGCTGAACTCATGAAACCTGAATTTGGCCTTTACTTATTGATGGAAATTATGTCAGTTTGATTTTTCACTATGACATTAACTGCATACGTGCATATGTTTTGGTGCCTTGTGCAGCGGACTGTTCAGGCCCAGTCGTCCGAGGACGTGGCTCATTGCGTCGGCCAGCTGATATCCCCCCTATAGACCCCTCAGTGCTCCTGGACCTGCACAAACACACACAGGAAGTTGCACACAGTGTTGAGATGATGCTCCGCAGCCTCAATGGAACCATCCAGAATGTGAGCATTCTTACACATGTCCCTCATATACACACACTGATCATGCATCTTCTATTTTTTCTTATTGCTTAAAAACAGTTCCTGAAGCCAAGTTCGCATTTGTAAAAGTCATCTCCCTGATCACACTAATTTTCACAATTTACTTTTTCTGCAAAATGCAGCGTGAAACAAGTTAGTGCCATTGTGCAAGTAATGAAAAGGGAAATTGTTTGATTTCAGTTATTACCTAAAAAGTGCATGTTTTTTCTCTTAGAGCAGGGGTCGGCAACCCAAATGTTAAGAAGAGCCATTTTGTCCTTTTAGCAAAAATATTATCGATTATCGATGTTTGTCTTAAATCTTTCTCTTTGCCTTTTCGTTAGTTACTAGCTAGGCAAGATTCTTGTCTACTTTGCTATTGTGACCAGGGTTAAAGGATGGTGAATTAGGAGTTAACTGCTAACTGTTAACTGCTAAATAACTCCAGCATTTATGACCATTATTAAAACTGTGTTAGAACAATCAGCAGAGCTTTATTTTACTGCAAAGGAGGATTATTTTATTTTTACCTAAAAGTCTAATTCTGCTGCAACAGGGCAGTAAAAGAGCCGCATGTTGCCGACCCCTGTCTTAGGGTGATAGTAATAGTAATAGTAGGTAGTAGTAGTAGTTTCATGGTGCTCTATGCGAAGACGTCTTAAGATTTATGGGACTCTCTCTCTCTCTTTCTCTCTCTCTCTCTCTCTCTCTCTCTCTCTCTCTCTCTCTTTTTATAGATGACTGCTCTGAGTGTGGGATATATTCAGACATACAGAGATTCTGTGGATAGTTTGGGAGAGTCAGTGGACATGAGCATAAAGGTATGAGTGCTTGATTAATGTTAGTCTGTAAAAACCTTTTTATTGTGTTCTCTCGCTTTGTTAGTATTAAGTCAGTTGTCTTTATGAAGTATTTTCCCCACACAATTTTGCATGTCTGCAGGGAATGTACACACTGATGGCACGGTGTGAGGAGTTGGATCGTTCCATGCAGCCCATCCAGGCGCTCGCCGCTCAGATCAGAGACATCAAACGCACGCTGGATGCTTTGGAAGCCATCTGCAAGTAACTGCTGGCAACAAGCCACGCCCCCTGATGACTAAGAAGCTCCTGGAGATGCTTTTTTGCGATGAAACTCCGCCCTCTGCAGACAGTTTGCTAATTATCATGCAACCGAATCACTTTGCTAATGATTGTGTCTCCTAGCAACGCTCTGCGAGTGCTCCTCCCCTCCTCTCGCACCTCCCTATGGAGATGACCCGTTGTTAGCCCTTCCTCTTGTTGTGGCTCGTTGCTTGTAGGATGATTGTCAGGGGAGAGAAAAGCGGACTTCTTTCTGTGAGCTCACACCGTCCGACATACTTCTGACCACAAAGAGGTGCTCTCTCTCTCCATGAATGCATCAGTAGCTTAAGTGGGACTATTTATGAAGTATGGTTGAGTGTGTGTGTGTGTGTGTGTGTGTGTGTGTGTGTGTGCATGTGTATGTGCGTGCGTCAGTTGTTTTAACAGATGGACTGGTGATGTTAAGTGTATCACCTCCTAGCTATTGAAGGCATCAAAATTAAAGACTGGAAATGTGTCGGATTAGTATTTGTCCATACGGAACCGTTCACTAGAAGCCATTTTTTGTTGTGTCTTCAGATTGGATGCTATGTATCCCCGTTTGAGTTCTGTTTCCACGGTGACCACTGATCGTTTCTAACACACGTGTCCAGTTAATCGCCCTGGGAACTGTGGACATTGTGTTGCTACAGCAACTGTCATGATGAATTTCCATGGCACGTGAGGTGCGGTGCGTGTCAACTGGCTGGAGGCTGAACGGCCAGTGATTTCACAGCGATCCCTCTGACTGAAGAAATTAGTGCAAGTTAGTGATTGAGACAGAAAAGGCAGACAGAGTTGATGAATGAAATGAAGGAGTGCGGTACAGTCCCTTTCCTCTTTCGGGCCCTAATCTCCAGACCCATATCCGTCTCCATGCATCTCTGCTTCTACAGTCCCGGTTTATCAACCAGTCTGTCTGGCATCAGTGTATGTTTTAAAGAATGAAATATAACAATAAATTTACTAGAATGATCCAGAAAAATGTCTTGCCTTATTTTTGGCAGTGACCTTTTGGTATGGCTGAGTCAGTCGTTATGTGTCAGTCTTCAAATATGAACTTGGATGAGTAAGTACTTATGAATGATGACTAGAACTGAATTTACAGTTTTCTGACGTAGTTGATCAGCCATGATTTTTGGTGACCAAAAATTGCTGTAGTTTTGCAATGGAACTAAAAGGGTATTGTAGCAAACTAGTAGGCCTCTCACAATCATGAAATCTCAGCTGGCTAGTAATTGCTATATCAATAATTGCAGTTAACTGTCTTGCTTTCAAGCTGTCGATACTAAGTATTTTCCATCTGAAGGCAAAAACTGGAGCACTTGTTTGTTTTTTTTGTTTGTTTTGTTTTTTTGTTTGTTTTTTTTTAATTCACGTTAGTTTTCTTCTACCCAACTGATAAAACACACCCAATTAAATTCTGTTATTGTGGTGCAAACATATTGTAAAAGCTAACAACTGAAAAATAATTGTGATCAGGATTGTGTAGTAATTGTGGTGGGCTTATTAACAGAAATCAAAACTTCTATTTAAACAACAGGATGAATGAGGGATGAAGTACAACTTGAACATTCATTTTCAATGACTTAACAAATACATATTAAAAATCTAAGATTTAGTAAAGATCCATAGACACAATAAGTAGATACAGAAAAAAGAACGAAAGCAACTGTACAATTGTACAAAGACGATAAAAATGCTGCAAATCAGGCCTGCTGTCACACTCTAAGCATTATTATAATACATTATATATAATATAAATTATTTAAGAGGAAACAGAAAATATGAAGGAAAGATTTGGCCTGTTTTGCATATGGATGCTGTGTAGTTGCCCAGTACAACATATGCTTTACATCAGTTTTTCTATTTCCTTGTTTAGCTTTGTACACTGTAACTGCAATTATGTATACATCTTAATCGAACTGTTGTTTTACTCTATTGTTCTGCCTCCCATGTTGTAACAGCTTTTTATCTGAAACAGTTTGCTGCGATCGTGAGTGAATCTCTGTTCCCAGTTTTGGTCAGGTCGCTCTGTCTGTAGGACAGTGTTAAGCTCTACAGCTGAGAACAGCTGAGACGGTATGTGCTGACCAAACCTGACGAGAGCTGGAAGACCGCAGGGGAAGATAACAGTTACTGAATTCCTGGTAAAATACAGGTGAGCTCTTGGTACGTGTTCTCTTCTGACGCACAGCTTGGCCAGATCAGCTCACTGTTTCTCGCCACTGTGTGTGTGTGTGTGTGTGTGTGTGTGTGTTCGAAGAAGAGAGTATCCTCACTTGCCATTGTCAGGATTAAGGTGGGTTGGCAGCCCCAGGCTCTTGGTGAGAGAAGCCCACACTGGCATTACAGTTCTAAATCACCCCCGGCATAATGAATCATTTAATGAGCTAGACATTGAGTCCACTGCTTTAACCACAGTATTCAGACTCAGTCGCTCAATGCATTTCATCCTTGAAGGAATGTTTTACGGTACAAACATCTCCTTGAACCCCCAACTTATTATTCAACTATTGATCATAACACTTATTCAGTAACTGTTGTGAAATAAGGGTGTTACGATATGCGTATTATTATTATTTTCTGATACAGTGATTGTGACACAATATGCACTGTGAATTAATGACAGTTACAGGTAGTTTTATACAATCAAAATGTGACATACATACTGGCATAAATTTGGAATGCACCTGAAGTCAGATTGTGGGTTTAAATTTGTAAGACCCAGCACAGTATTTTCCTTTCCAAATCCATTCAAACTCTTAACCTAGTTGCAAGTATGTAATATATTTGCATATGATTGTGTCAGGCCAAATGCGCTGACTGGCCGTTTAGTAAGAACACTTTCTTGTATCTACACTCATTGTCCATTTTATCAGCTCAGTCCTACAATTACAGACTGTAGTCCATCTGTTTCTCTATATGCTTTGTTAGTCCCCTTCTACCCCGTTCTTCAATGCTCAGAACCTCCACAGGACCACCACAGCAGGTATTATTTGGCTGGTGGGACGTTCTCAGCACTGCAGTAACACTGATGTGGTGGTGGTGTGTTAGTGTGTGTTGCGCTGGTAAAAGTGGATCAGACACAGTAGCGCTGCAGGAGTGTTTTTTGGCTGCTTCAGATTCATTCCACCAGAGGATTTCACACTTCATAAGGCAGCTGTAGACCGCCATTCGAAGTTTGTAAGACCTGCATTAAGACCTGCATGTTAAATTTTTTTTTTTTGTGAATTCTTCAGTACAGATCTTATTTAAGCTTAAACATTAACTCAATTAATTAACATTAACTGTTACCCAATTAGCTGTTACCCAGTTTCTCAGAAGCATCTTAGTGTTCAGGTTGATACTCGCTCTACAATTTAAGGATGATCTTTTTGCCAAGATGCTTTTGGGAAACCCAACCTTGACTGTTTGTTTGTTTGTTTGTTTGTTTGTTTATTTATTTATTTATTTATTTATTTTTAAGAGTTCATATGTAGGGTCTGTTAATTGTGTTTTTCAAACCTTTACTTAGAATAGAATATTTCATTTTCATAAAATGGAAATTTGTCTTTAGCACTGTCATGTGGAAACTACATCATACACACAAAACACAATAAAATATAGTGATATGTATTTCAACCTGCAATATGTATAAAATGTATTATAGTCTCCATATACGAGTAACCAAGCTCATCTTTAGGTTGTGTTCTGTATCAGTGATCTCTTTACATTCATGCATGGTTAGGTTAGTATGGTGATCCTGCACCAAACTTCAAAATGAACTGCACTGGTTACGTTTGAAACAGGCTGTCAATCAAGAGGTGGTCATAAATATGCAAGGGGTCATGCCCACACAGCAAAATGGGAAGAAAACGGAACATTTATAAAATGCAACACCATTAAAAAAAATGAACACCATTTTTGGGGGTGAAGGGGGAAAAGTTTGAAATGCATAAAATAGTTTGGCAAAATTTTTATTTTTGACAGAATGTAAAAAGCCAATGGTCTCTAAGAAAACTGCTTTCACCAGGTGCTGCAGTCTTGCTTTTGCAAGTGGAGGTTGGTATTTCTTTTTCACTTCTGTATGAAAAATTCATAGTTTTGTGGTGCAAAAAAACACAGTAGATACCATATTAGTCTACCCGTTATGAAATTTAGTATAAAAGTCTTAGGTTTATCAAAGTGAGCAACCAAAGTGTGAAACCACATACAGGCTCTTAGGGTTAAAAGGGCTATTAACAGCACCACTGATCACTGACCTCTTATCTAAATCTGCCAAAAGTTACTTTAGAATTTTCCTCTCCATTTCACGTATGATTTAATCTGGGTTCAGTTCATTACGTAACTGTACATATTTGCTTTTGAGAGACTACAAGATTTAGGTTCTTACCACTGTTCATTGTTTATTATTGTTTAGTGTTGTTTATGCTGTTTACAGGCTTGGCAGATGGTTCTGATGAAGTTTCTGATTCACGGTAAACGTGGTTAGATCCGTGTCTCAGTCCCAGATTAACGATAAGCCAAAGACTAAACATGAGATTAGGGGTTAGTTTGGACAGATGGACTGATAGAGGTGAAGAGGAGCGGCTGACCGGCTCTGCAACATTTAGCAAATCTGATGATGCACTTATCGCTGTCCTGCCAGCCCCCGAGGTGCGTGTTTTACATTGTAGCATCTGCACGTGTACGTGTGCAGAGAGGAGTACGAGTGTTTGTGCATGTTTATATGGAGCTTTGTGTTGTGTGATGTGTCTGCATTCATGTGCACTTTTGTTTACACAAAAGCCGGCACACGTTTTTGTTTGTGAGGTTAAAGGCCTCTTTGAGGTCAGGCTGCAGCATGTTCACCGCTTACAGGCTTTTGCATATATGTAACTCTGTATGTAACTCTATATCACACGGATGGTGTAGCATTATTACCCATGGCCACTATCAGATGATCAGATGACTGGCTGGTAGCAGGAAACTGCCCTGCAGCCATACACTAAGCAACTATAGTATCCACTTTGACAATGCATGTAAAATATATATTTTAAATAGTGCACACTTTCAGAAAAGTATATCAGCCACGTTTTTATTACCAGGGTGGAAATCAGGCCACCAAGCTAAAAAAAACCTCCTGGCCAAAACTACGAATTTGTGGTCAGAATTATAGAAACATCTTTATTGTATATGCATTTACAATTAACATGTATTATTCAGTACCAAAAAGAATACAGTATTGCTTTGATAAGGAAATATTAAAAAAAAAAACATTAATAAGAACATCTGCACACACTCACTTTAGAAAGCTATTAGCATGCAAGTTGCTTTTTTGTGTGTCACTGAAAGAGAAGAAAAAGCCTTTAGTCCCAGAACAAAATAACCGCACAGATGCAAGTGTTGGCAGTCAACAACAGATATTGCCAAACGATGTTGAGTTACTCAGAATTATTTATGATTTCATGATTTTCCACTATTCTTATTACATAAGTTACTGTTAAAGCTAAAGAAATCTAAAGTAGAAAAGACTGAAATAAGCTAAACTTCAGCAAACTGTATGTGTTTAACACTGTGCTAGATATGACAGGGAAAAATAGTTTTGTTACAAATATTAGATATTTGCGAATGTGTGAAACTTCAACTGTTCTGGTGGTTTATTACAAAAAATATTAAATGAGCCACAGCTCTGCACCTCCAGTGGCCAATTTTCATACGTTTTCATGGACAATCTTGCTTATTGCACCTTTAACAGTGTTGTGTCAAATTATCTTGCCTTTAACCTTTTAACACAGAAGCTATGATAAGTATCAGTGCACAAAAACATTGCTGTGTAGTGCATACTCTGCCGTGGGTGTTCGTCAACCATTTGTTTATTTCATTTTAGCTCTCTTCAAACTTTACGAGAGACTGAATGTTTGGTTATTGTTATGTTATATTATTACATTACATCATGAATACAAAATGTACAATACAGAAAGTGCCAACAACTCATTCTTAATAAAAAGTACATGTTTTACACTTCCATCCAACACAGCAGTCTCACAGTTGTGCTTTTTTTTTTAAATTGTAAGAGCAACAAGTAGCATTTTTTTATGCCATGAACTGGAGGGGAAACTTTACTTAATGATTTAGGGAGGCACGATAGAGATTGGAAATGCCAGAGCAAATAACATTATTTATATTGCAACTTTGGATGATGAAAAGTACTGGTCCTAGTGTTTTTCCTGTGTTCACTTAACCCACATAGTGTGAGCTTATTATTTAAATAATTTTAAATAAAAAGTTAATGCAAATCAAATGCAAAAAAAAAAAGCCAATTTTTCCTTAAAGATTTCAAAATCGGCCATAAAAAATTATGATCAGTGCGCCTTTAGAGTGACTTATATTTTAAAATAATTTCTCATTGGCACAAGACCAGCATTGAGTTAATGACGTATGCCAGCTGAAAATGCTACTGATTGTTCCTATAAGATAAGGCCATGATGCTCTGGCAACCCTTTGAGGCACCAGAAACTTTGCTAGTGTAAAGAATGACATTATGTATCACACCTTGTGTGTCCCATATATATGGTACATGATATAATGGACATAATTCAATGCCAAGTGTGTGACTGAATAATGTTCTTAGAGAGATCAGGATGTGCAAATGACACTCATCTAGTCAAGACCCAAGTCTCTGGGTATTGCAAATTTCACATAAGGAAGGCTGTGGTGCATGTAATGTGTTTATCACAGGATCTGCACATTGGCCAGTAAGATCTGTATTATCTAAAAATGGCCCATTGAGTCATCTCTACATGCATTGGTGTTGGGCAATTAAACAAACAGCCAAAGGTCAGTAGATACTCTGTGTGCTTCTTGAAGTTAGCCACCCAAGTCCACTCTGACTGAAATGAGATTGAGTAAGTAACTGAATGGCCACTTCAGCTTCAGTCACTGAGCTAGAACTAGTTGCTGTTAAATGGAAACTCAACCATTAAATCTTCCTCATAATGATCCTCTCCTCATTTGGGCATTCCCTAAATGCCTGAACGTTCAGAAAGAATGTAACATCACCATTTTTAAACGGTCATTGCTCACTGCTCACTGAGCAGAATATTAAGAGAATTCACTCACTTTGAGCATTCATGCAACTCACAACTGCATTTGCCTTGTGGCATTGATCTCAGCAAGCTAATCTCCTATGTTTCAGTACACAAAATCAAGGCCAGTAGGGTCATCCCATACATCCTGCTCCAGGCAGGTCAGATATGAAAGTTTGCAAAACTGATAAACAACAGCACAGAGAGAAGTATACTGGGCACATTATGGGAGGGGCATCCACTGACTGTCGGCTGCTGTCCAGTAGGTGTAGTGGTGACTACCGTCACCTCAGTCTGAACGATAACAGAGGGTGACTTTACTGTGGGCAGTGGCCTTTGGCCTCCAACGTCCGGCCCACCTGATTCCTGATCAGCGGCTGCTCCCTCCAGTGCCTCAAACCACTGACACCGGAAGTCCCGCCTCCAGATGTCCAAGTAGGTGGGAGGAAGTTCCCCTGTTGCCCGGATACCCTCCGCCCCATTGGGCATCAGCAAGAAGTGGGCGGGAGGAAGGTGCAGGTAGACTGGGTCTTCTGGTTTCTTGCGTACGCAGCGACCACGGCCTTGGCAAAGCGAGACCCCACAGAGACGTGCTGCCGTGGTTACGTTGACCACATAAGGGCCAAGAACCTCTCGCACGTAGGATCCGAGTTCAGAGCAGGACTTCTGATGGACACACATGAAGATGTATATACATTATGCATGTTTATTGTAATGTAGTACAATAAAAGGATGGATAGATGGATCAGTAGAAGATTTGTACCTGTGTTTTGGTACTGATGGATTTTTCCCAGATGATGACCCCTGCTGCACCCATAGCAGCACTCTCTCCTACAGTATTCACCAAGTCAGCCTGAAGCAAACACATACATGTAGTTACATACAATATGTAAACTCTTAAAAATTGAGGTGTGAAATGGTTCTTTGGAGCAACACCATAGATGAGCAACTTTTGGTTTCATAAAGAACCAAGAGATGTGCATGTGTTTGGGATAAAGTAGTGAGTAACACTACAGCATTCCATTCATCAGGCTCAACGTACGTTTTCTGTTAATTTACTAAGTACAAAGTAACGTCTCCAAATTATCATTAATGGTAATTGACATTAGAAATTAGCATCAGATATAGCAGAGGTGGGGAACTCCTGGTCCTTGATGGCTGGATTCCTGCAGAATTCGGAGATTTTCCTGATCAAACATGTCTTTTTTTAACTCATCAGTTAATTGCCAGGTTTATTTGGAGTGTTAGAGCAGGAAAAACACAAATGCTTGACTTGGCTCCCCACCCCTAAGATGCAGGCGTACTCCTTTAAAGAACTATGAGTTGAAAGGCTCTTTTGGAAAGCAGTTCTTCAATGACATCTCTTCAAAAACCCTTTCGGCACCTTTATTTTAAAAGTGTACACACAATAAAAACACTTTTATACAATCTATTGCATGCAAGCACCACTATATAGACCTACACTGTACACATACTGTACAATGTGATAGAGTGAGTTATTACCTCAGGGAGAAATGTACTGGAGGAGGCGTACACACTCTTGACCAATGGGAAAACTGGAAGATCAGAGGTGGACCCGGCTAGAGCCGCTACCCTTAGTGCTTCTCTGATCTGGTTGGATGTGTAAAGCCACGTCCCCTTGGTCCCATCAGGTAGTTTCTCCAGTGACAGGATAGGGTAGAGTGCTGAGCTTCGTTTCCATAGCCACATCATCTCATCATTTAGGGCCATCTCCGCAGCTGGGCAGCGTCCCGTGTAATTGGCCAGCAGCATCTGGGCAGGGTCAGAGTTGTAGCAGCTTGGATATGGAGCCACACCCCACAGCCTCTGTGGGCGGTGCCTCTTCAGTTCTCTCAGGGTCTCCATTAGGATGGACTGAGCTGCTGCTTCAAAGTCCACCTGACAGGAAATGACAGCAGTGCTTTATTTGTATAGTATTTACTGTGTGTGACTGACAGAGCACTTTTTAAAGAAAATGCCACCCAAAAGGCAGCTTAGATAACCATTATTATGGTTATCAAGATTAATATGATTCAGAAATCTTCATAAAAGGATCAACTATTTGCTATTCACACTGATACCCAGTGTTCTGTAGTGTCTACACGTGTTCGCTATAACTCAGCAAAACACAAACTGATTTCACTAAGGAGTTCTCCTCCTCCTCCAAAGAAGGAAACCTAATTAGTATAATTAGCATTGTATTTAGCACATGTAGCGCTCAATTGTATGCCTATGAGATAAGATAATCCTAGTCCCACAATGGGGAAATTCACACTGCTACATCAGCAAAGAGAGAGCAAGGCACTCAAGAAAAGAAGTAACAAGAAGTGAATTAACAGAGTAATTAATCTTGATAATTACTTAACAAGGTTACAGTTTGATACTTGTTACGATATAGAAAATATATAATACTAAAGATAACAATATAAGATAAAACATATAAATTCTATCCTTCACATAAACTCTATTCACAAAAAAGAACTACATAAACAATTATAAATAAAAAAAGATACCCAAAAATATTTTTACTGTAAGGATATTTTGCCCATTTTGATTCCTAAAATGCAATTACATGACTAACTATTGAGGTGAAAATCTGGAATGTGTTCCCAAAGAAGCCACTGAATGTTTAATAAAAAAGTATCAGATATCTGGGGATAGCAGGGAGAGAGACAGGATTTACCTGCTTATGTAAATGTAGTCATTTGTGTGTTTGTTTTTGCACATTTACAGGACAAAAATGTCATGGCTTTGTTGACAAACTAGAGAAAAACTGGAATAACCTACAATGTCGTTTGTAAAGTGTGTTTAATAAAGTTGAATCACTTCAACTGGAAAGAGTAAATCAACTTCTTTTTATTGTTAGGTTTAGGGTTACACACATACAAATGTATGTGTTTATGTGTTTGTGGATCTACCTGAGCCCATTTCTCCACCTCTTCCGCACTCCAGTCAGGGAAGAATCCCCGGAGCAGGGCTCGTGATTCCTCCAGATACCTCCCCTGCTTTCCCTTGTTTCTGCTCCACTGAGGGGCCCATTCATTCCACCTCAGCACCCCCAGCCCGGGTGCTCCTGCCTGGGGCAGAGTGGCTGTCAGGTCCCCTTCCACCTTCTGGAGGTGGAGGTCCAGGCTTGTGTGCTGCGGCAGGCCACCATTGACCGGCTGACCATCAGCACTGAAATACGGGTACAGCCCCAGCGAGTCTTCATAAAACACAGCCACTCGCCCCTCCCACTCCATCCCGAAAGCCGCCGGATCTGGGCGGCCCAGGCAGTCCTTATTGGGCACACCCCACAGAACCAGGAAGGGCTGTCCGGCCAAGAGAGGAGCACGGGCTGGACCACTGAGACACGGACAGGAGAAGAAGGAGAGAGAAAGAAGAAGGAACACAGGAATGAGGGTGAAGAGAGGTTTGGAGAGATTTCTGGGAGCCATGAAGGTGATTAGGGAGTGACTCATGGCTCCTCATCCCCACTCTCCAACCATCGCCTCCTGAAACACACAGAGTCAGTGAATTAATACGCTTATCAATGTATACTTCACATTTGGTGGACTTTTCACCTCTTCGAATTTGAACTTAAGGCCGCTTAAAGAAATACTTCAGAGGTTTTAAACCTCATCTCTGTCTGCCATGTCTGTATCATGTGGTCATTTACCATAGCCAGTAATTTTGATGCATGTGCTTTTACTTACTAAACGGATCAAAAGCTCACTGACTTAAAACATATGTGAAGAGTTCCTTAATCATCTTCCCATTTGCCTCTATTGTAAGTTTGTTGTGAGTGGGTACCAGGAAATGCAAGAAAATTATTGTCTATGTAATCGACAACATGCAGATTCAGATTAGATTAAAAAACACTGGAAAATTCCTTCGAGTATTACTTCCTCCACTGCCGTGAGACTTTTTTGTGTCTTGTTTTTGCAGAAACACACTTGCTCCTATGTGGCATTGTACCCATGTGGAAAAAAATATAGACATATTTTTATATATTTGAAATACATTTTAAATACAATGCAGTCCATGCTACAACACTTTCCAAACACTAGAATGTATTTCAGATTACACTGCCATATTAACCAAATCTACTTTAAAACACATTCATTTTAAAATGTATGGTGAAATATTACACGTTAAAATGTACCACATAAAAATAAATACATGGAAATATATTTTATATGTTATGTTAATATTTATTAAATACTTTTAAAAATGTATGAAAATAGCCACTTTTCTAGTGCAGTTTACTGTTTGGATACCTTTTGAAGTGGATTTGTATTCCAGTATCTTAATTTAAATTTTAGCAATGGAACCTTTAACCTTTGTCTATTTAGAAGTGCCCATTTTAGCCCAATTTAATACTTTGATACTTCTTTGAAACATGATAAGACGTATTCACCCTGACTTTGATCTTTAACTGAATGTGTCCTACATATGTTTCCTTTTCAATTACTATATTTAAAACTGCAGTTTTCCAAAAAGCAGAGAAAAAAAGGCAGAAGGTAAAGGATACCCTGCTAAAAATAAAACAGCTTATTGTAACATCCCACTCCTGGCTTGTGCTGCTGTAGAGAGACTCTGGAGACATTGCCATGAATAGGGCCATGTGAAGAGGCTCATGGGAAGTGTGCACTCCCAGTAAAAAGGGCATTTATGTTGTTAAAGTTGTTGTTTGTTAGTTTGAAGATGTGTTCTGTGTTATTTGTGTTTTATTGTGTCTGAGAGATTGGGTGTTTTATGTTGGCAGTTGGTCATCATGGAGAGGAGGCCTGTGGCTAACGGTGACCTTCCCCAATGTTTCAGTGAGGTGTGCCTTGTTGCCTGTGTTTTAACAAAGGAACACTATTCGCAGCAGAATCATGGTTTCTTCTGTATCTCTTTCTATGCCATCATCACAATGTGTTTTGGATGCTATCTTGCTAGTCAATAGCAATGGAAGTTATTATGCTGATCACCAGCAAAACTAGCATATGGTGCGTATGTTGCATGGTATGTAGCATATGTAGCGTAAACTAGGTGGTCTTTGTTGTTTTTTTTTCCGACAGGGTATTAAGTGGTAGCCTAACAAGATTAATCAGTGCTGCCCATGCTCAAAGGTAATCACTCTTTAAAAGATGTCCAGTAATGCCCTGTGGTTCTTGCACAAGTCAACATTAGAGGGCGCCAGTATGTCACACAAGCTGCACCATAGTAGTGCAATATTGTATGAAATAGGATCCCAGCAGTTAAAAGTGAATGTTTTTCGGTTCTTGGCAAACTTCATAACTCCTTTCACATTAACCTATTTTTCTTCATGGTTTTCACCTTAAGAAGGTTGCAGTATAAATCAAATCAGGACACGTGTTCTAGCTGTTCAGTGTTTCGAGGAAACTTCAGGCACTTAGCCACGTCTCAACTCTCTGATACCCAGATTAACTCTGCTCTGTTTCCCACCGAACTGAACCTTCCTAAAACCTCTTCTCTGCTCCTCTATTTTCAGGGAGTGTCCAAAACCGTAAAACATTGCTAAATTTGCCGCCCAGCATTGATCTTCTTAGTTTTTACGCTAAAGTAAGTCCATTATTGTGCTCACGCCTACAGCCCTGCATCTCACAAGGGGAAACGGTTGGAGCTAATGCTTTTTGTGCCAGTGCAGCTAATGAAGTGAGAGTGGATGTTCAATAAGGAAGATGCATGAACTGAGAACAGGGTTTAATCTCTATGTGGCAAACCTCGCCTCTGTGAGCAGCCACGCTGTTTTCTCATCCCATTTTAATCTTGGCTGCCGGGCTCTCTCATGTCCTAGAGAGCTGCTGTTGTTGTTTGTGATAGTTTCAGGGCAGCTCATTCTTCCACTGTAGTAAGGAAGTAAAGTGATCACTTTATCCTCTCACATAAAGCTTTGTTAAAAATAAAACTGGTAAAACTAAAGGCACCAAAAAGGGTTACTTGCACAGTTCTCTAAAGAACCAAATTTGTAAATGAGATGTGAGAGTGTGAAGAACTTCCACATGAAGTGAAGGTTCTGTAAATTCTTTAGCCAGTACTTCAGCCAGTTCTCCAGCTCAGAGATGGATAAATATTAGCCATCCATCTGTCTATCCAATTTTGCACAGGTAAAAATGCTAGAACCATTACTAAGTCAGTTACCAGGCCTGCAATGAAGCTCAGTTGGTGCTGTTAAATACCTTTCTACATTTTTTTAATGCTGTCTACTTGTAAAAATGGCCCATGTTGCTTCCACACAGTCATAAAACAGTCCATCACTTTGGGGAGAAGTCCTTTGAGCTGACTGATGGGCATGCATGATATGAGGTTAAAGGTCAGACTTACCTGCGGAGTGTCTGGAAAGAGGATGATGATGGCAGTGAGTGTGAAGGCCCCTCTGGGTGAAATCAAGAAAAAACAATATGTGCTTGCAGGTGAGAGAGCCCAAGTGTAGCAGTCCAGCCGGCCGCAGCGTTCAGGAAATGGGAGCTGACCATGAGGAGGGTGGGCATACGGATGGAGGGATGGAGAGATGGATGAACAGAAGGGTAGAGAGGAGAGGTTGCCTCACCTTCACCGGGGTAATCTGTCTATAAGCAGGGTCACTGCAGACCACACAAGTCACATGACCTGCCTGACCGTAATCCCATAATCCACTCCGTCCAAATGCCAGACACATAAACACTTGCGCACACACTTACAGGAACACCTCAAAGCACATTCTCCAAAAATGACGCCAGACCAAAAACACACAGTTCACTCCTGAATCTCATTTCAGAGATCTCAAACCTCTCTCTCTCTCCCTGCCTACTATTCCCTATTTGCTCTACCCTATTACCTTTTTACCATCTCCTGCCGTCTGCTATTGTGCCTGTTATTTTTCACTTTATCTTTTGGGACTTGTCATCTGTCTACTCAGTTCCATACAGTTACAACAGCTAGATGCAGAATTGGCTAACTAACCCATGAATGATTCTGACATCAAATCTTAGCACAACTCATCACTGAGCATTTTCACACAGTGATGAATAAATAAATGATCATTGATTTTCCTCTGTGTGTGAGATCAGTAGTGTTTGCAAAGTTCTGAGAAGTTGTTGCCATGTTTGTCAAACTTTCAGGCCAAGGCTACCTGCTAGCATCTGTAGCACTTCAGTAGAACAACCAAAAATTGAGAAACACACAGAGTAGTATATTTGAAACCTTTTTCTTTCAAAAATCAACTGGTTTCATAATATGTTCAGTGTAAACATACATGTTTAAGAACTGACAAAAGATAAGAAGGATCCTGAAAACCATGTTTACAGTCATCAAACCAGGGAAATTGTTTAGCCATTGATGTTAAAGAGGCAGATTTTCATGTCTAATAAGAATTTATAAGGATAATAAGGATGAGGTTTTAGTGATGGAAGCTACCCCTTCAGATAAAGCTAACACCAGAGCTTGTCAGAGCAATGTTAAATGCTGAGGAGCTTGTCAGTGCTGAGGAGGCCTCGTCATCTTTTACATAACTTTTTTGCCAACCTTAGTTAATGAAGCAATACAAAGAATGGGATGTGTATGAGTGTTTTAATATTTATCATTACACACAATGTTTTAATCACAAATGTGAGTGCTGTACAGTCCTGTTCGATCTGACTGATTCCTCAAGCTTGTCAACAGCTAGTTAAGAAAAGCTAACTAGTTAGCTAGCTAACTAATCTTAACATTTTTCTGTAACATTATTCATCATTAGACCTCATATTAACATATTTTTAGCAAACACAGTAAGCCAGATAAAGTCTTGCTCACCTCACAGCCAGAATAGTCTGTCTGTAAATAATTTTGAGTGTGGCCCTGCATTTAGATTAAGCCAAAACTCTTTCAGCTTCAGGAATGAAACAAAAATATCACCACCATCCAGATGATCAGGATATCATGTGTCAGGCATACGATCCTCAGCAACACCTTTTCACCATCTTTAGCCTAATTCTGATTAATTTATTGCCACTGCCATTCTCACTGCAGGTTTGTTGTTTTTCCTTCACTTTGTTGAGGAAGGTAGCATTTAGAGAAGATTGTGACTGTCTGAGAGGTGTGTTAAAACATATTTCTGCTCATCTTATAATGGTTTGAATCTGTTCTTGAAAATGTGTTTTTTCTTTAATTATCAGTTGATCACATACAATGACAAATTGTGGCGTCCCACTACTGGCTTGCTCTGTCAGTGTTAGCACCTATCATAAATTGAAGATGTATGGTTAGAAGTGACCTGCCTGCTATCTAGGCTGTTTCAGCAGTACTGAGCGGCGATTCTCCCTGGCTGCCTATTCAGTAAAGAGCATTCGCTTTTAAAGCGCAATTTTTGCCTGTGTTTTCTTTTTCACTTATGCTACAATATCAATAATAAATTTAATTAAATGGGAATTCCACCTAGTTTTTAAAATTCCTATGTAATTCAGTTGTTCAAAGTCACTCAGATTGGTTTGATGTGAAAGTCAAAATTCTTCACAGT